TCTCTCTCTCTCTCTCTCTCTCTCTCTCTCTCTCTCTCTCTCTCTCTCTCTCTCTCTCTCTCTCTCTCTCTCCCACACACACAGACACTGTTGCCATAGCTACCGTTGACCATGAGCAGCTTGGAACCACTGCACTCCACGAACAGGTACGTTCGCTGCGTTCCCTGTCGTCACTTCCCCTTGTGCACCCCGTTGCAGCACATCCTGGTCACACTGGTCGCCCGCTCTAGTGCGCCCCCCCCTTCGCCCTGGTCACCCCGCTGTCCAAATGTCCAGTTCCCCCTGGTCGCCTGCTACGTGGGCGGGGAACGCCTTGCATGCTGCTCCCAACGCGTTGACCTGCCTGGATCCCACTATGTTGTGGGCCAGGTACACCTTGCATGCTCCTTTCCCCCGCGTCACTCCCCTCACACACGGAGTAACCGCCTCAGCGCTGGCGCGTCTTCCCTGCGCTTGCATACGCGGGTACACCTTGCTCGTACTGAGTGCGTCCTTCCTCTCTTCGCTGTCTTTCCCTATATGCTGGACCGTGACCTTTTACGGAGCACATGCTGCTGAGGGCCCGAGTACCCCCGTAATGTGGGAATTCCAGTCCAATGGTACCGATAGGCGTTGTAGTCGAAATCAAAGAGAACTGTTCTAGTTACCAAATCAGAATATGTGCCGAGCATAATGGTACCGCAGCCCCGTAACCTGGCTGTATTGGCCCAAGGACCGTACCAGTCCGGTGACAGACCAAAGCCCCACGCCAGTGTCGTACATACCCAAGATGATGAAGAGGGCCTCAATATTGAACCGTTGAGTCCCATTGACATAGCCGTCTGGGACTGCAGCTACTGGCCGCGGTATTTTGCAGCAACTGTTCCGTRACAATGCCTCCGACCGTAGCACCCGTACCAAATCATACCAATCATTTGGAGTCGTTTYTCAYACACACATCCGATCGTTGTCGCAGAGAACTGAAATAGCYCKTACCGTGCCAGCCGACCCCAAACCGAACCAGAAAATTAATGTGGCAATGGCTTCGATGTTGAAATAAATTGCCGTGTTGGTGCTGATCCGGAAGTAGATGGTCGGAGTCACGTCGAAGGTATTCCGATCCTGAAATAAATCAATGTGGTGGTTCCGAACCGGATAATAAATCACCCTGATCTGCTCGAGCCTCAAATAAGCTGATGTCGAGCTCTCGTCGAGYTGGAAAAAAAATATGTCGRTGTCGAGTCATACCGAATCCGAAATCAATGGCCGCGATAGCACCGTGCCCGGGATAAACCGCCATGGCGGCGGCGAAGCTGAAATAGATCGCCGTAGCAGCCCCAAGCCTGACAATAAATCACGCTGATATGTCCGAACCTGAAACGCACTGATACTGAGCTCACCCCGAACCAAAACACCGAACTATAACCGGAACCCTTCCGAACCGGTGTCCGTGCCGACCCAAATATCATACCGTTGGTCCAAAGCAGCACCGTCTCACGCTGCCCATGTGACCATCCTCAGACTGACTCAGAGGGTCAATAGTCGGGTAAATCAAGAGAACGACGCGGAAAATCCCGATCATAAGGGGATAGTAACAAAAGGGGTTAAAGTTCAGAGAATTTGATCAACTCGGGGTTCCGGGCTGACGGTGGGTAATCCAAACAAAATCAGGCCAGACATCGAATAGTCAGTAGTTCATGTTCGTTCCGTCTTTATTTTAATCATTTCACTCTCTTCCTAATTCTATTGTCTGAATTAGTATAATAGTCGCAATTTCACAAATGAATAAACACTGAGGGGTTTTAAATCAAATGATTGAAATTCTTTTGTTTCCCTTTTTTTTTGGTCATGTTTAATCTTTTTTCTTCGTTTTTTATCTTATTACCCGAAACGTAAGATAACGACGGAGTTTCTACTAAAATTAAATGCCATGGAAATTATAGAAATCAAAGAATATTTTGTTTTTCTCTCTCATCCCACCATCTTTAACCGTCTCTTCCATTTTAATTTCGGCATCAAAATTGACAAAAATTCGAGGCATCACTCGGCCCCGATCGTGTGCTGCAAAAGGCGTTACCGCGGGGTCACTCCCCGCGATGTCTCTTAGCGGCCGACCATTTCAAATCTAGCCTCGGGACGGGCGGAAGTGACGGTTCCAAGATGTGCCGGGAGCGGGTACCCATTTTGCCATCTTTGAGGGTTACTCGTAAGGTTCAATGCGCACAAAATCAGGGGTGCCCTGAGTTTCCCTAATTTTTGCTGCCTCGTGAAACCAGAGTACCATCAAAACACACACTTGTTTTTGAGCCTAAGTCCCAAAGCCGCAACTTTCAGGCGGCCCATCCCTTGTGGCCGCCTGACACCGTGTTTGGAACTTATTGGCATAGCACTAGATGCTCACCAAGCAGTTCTAGATGTCGGTTATATCGACACATCATATGATGCTTTACAAGCAAACTGTGGTCGGATCCCGTCCCTCATCCCCGACTCGGATTTATGAGAGCCGATTTGACGCAATCCACCGTTAGATCCACATCGGAGAGGCGGAGCGGTCATCCTACCGCTGTTCAGTGTAGTCATCATGTGGGAGTCGACATCGTAAGAACCCGATGATGTTCCAATTGGGACGTGCTCTTGTTTCGTGATGTGCAGGTGCTTACCGGTGGTCCATTCGATCCCCTCCTCGACGTGAAACAAAGTGCGAGGGAATTGCTCAGGGCTCACACCAGAAGTGCGATTGAACTCGCACTTTGATGGAGAAGCAGTTGCGCAGTCCATCAGCGGGACGATTTAATATGGACATTGACTTGTCATTTGTATACTACAGGTTGAAAACGCCATCAAATCTTTCTGTGTAGAAGATTCATATCCATTCATACAAGTATCTCTTGTCATCGCAAACATCGAGATGAAAACATCTCGAGTCAAATTGCAAAGCACACAGAGAGATCGCAAACATCGAGGTAAAAACATCTCAAGTTGCCTAGTGTTTTTCCAAAGGTAAAGTCTCACAGCACACGAACAGTTTCCAGAAACCATTCAATGCAAAAAATTCATTCAAGGGCAAATTGCAAAGCACACAGAGACGTTTGAAAAAATCATTGAACGCAAAATATCATGCAATCCCACATTGCAAAGTGCACGAAGGTTTTCCAAAAATCACAAAGTACATAGAGCCAAAGTGCGAATATGTTCTTATTTCTCATATGGAACCAACAGTTCAATCACAAATGTACGGCATCCAAAGTGCGAATATGTTCGCATTTCTCATACGGAAACAACAACCAGCATTCCGTGGAGAGCACGAGATGTATTCCGATGATAACAAAATTGGTAATCATTTAGTGCACCGCTGAATCCGTAAAACAACTTCAAGCACACATACATTCTGGCGACAATTGGTTTCCAAATGGAGAACAAGTTTGCAACTGTCATAAGGAACCAACAGACAGCATTCAATGGAGACAAGCAGAGGGGGTGAACCGTAAAACAGGGCGTCACACGCAGAACAGGGGCGAGCCAAAACATATGAAAGCTGGGTGGTCGGGGTGGGGCGGGGGAGAGGGGTTTTCACACTACAAAGTCTCGCGAACGAAAGAGATAAGCACGAAAGAATTTGGCGACGAAGAATAAATCGTCGATATCTTTCAGAAACGAACAAACGCAGCATGGCGCGACAAACGCAGCACGGTGTTGCCACGGTCTGAAAGCCAGGATATTCACATCCCATATCTAAGCGTCTACTTAAAAGATACTGCACCACGTGACTGGGATATTTACATCGGCATCTAAGATTGTACTTCACGTAAGCGTCCGCTGCAACCCTCTAGCTGATGTTGCGCGGCAAGCAATGAGAACAACCCGAAAACAAACAAAGGCAGCACGGCGCTGCCAAAAGGCGTACAAGTCAAGATGACAGATTCCTCGAAATGAAGAAGCTTTAAAAAATTGCTACAACACGAGGCTGGGATATTCACATCGACACCTAAGCGTTTACTTTACCAAAGCGTCCACTGCAATCTGGTACCTCATTTAAACAACATCACAGCTTGAACCGGCCGACTAGTAGATCAAGTGGGAATAAATTCGCACTTCTGCTTATGGCATTTCGAAAAAAAAACTACGCGTATTTTAACAACAGTGGTATCATTCAGCGCCTTGGAGTATGTCCACCGATCTCCTCAGCCATATGTTTGGAATGTCGCTTTGGGCTATCGAAAATGGTGGCGGACAGCCGCGTGCAAGAAATGAAGCGAAGACGAGCATGGAAACACCGCAGCTCGATCCGTCCGATTGTTGAGGGACACCACGAACAACCACCTTGGGCTCCTGGAGATCCACTTTCGTTTTTGGACCATAATGACAAACTGCTTCCTCACGGAGGTATTGCGTGAAGTTCGCAATCACATCGGAAGAAAAACCGCCATCGTCTTGTACGAGGGAGTCGGAGTACTCCAGCAGTTGTTCTCGGAGACACAATAGGGTCCAATGCAGTCCATGTTTATGGACAGGAATCAAGACCATCTCGTACGAGAAAATATCCACATCTTTTGTCCATTTCGCAACCCTATCATGTCGGTAGCCGCCACGGACGAGCTTGGTATACAAAAAGGGACTGAAAATGTAAAGAGAGGGACACCCAGGCACCGCAGCGTTGGCAAGCAAGGCCAAGTACGACTTCACCACCTCGTCAGAAAGCCATTCCCCTTGAATAAGAGTTTGAAGACTTTTTCTGCTCAACGGAATTGAACTGACCCCTTTGCGAACCGAGGACACCACCTCGTGGCCGTTGCTGAAATCTCCAGAGACGTTCCGCAACATTCTCAAGTCCGTAGCGCTAAGCTCCTCAGTAGGCAACGGAACGCGAAAACATGATGTAGCCTCAGCTGCACAAACACCCACGAACAAGTGTGAGGAGTAAGCACAAACCCCGGGGCGGAATGGCTAAGAACTGTCTGCCCTTTTCCCAGAAAAGTTGTATCCCCGACTGTTGAATGTRTCCTTCGCGATGTACTTAGGACACGGGTCTTTCAAGACACCCCGTTTGCCATCGTCATCAGACCCATCAGACAAAGCAGTAACGCTCTCAATAGACGCAGCCAAATATTTCCGCAGACCTTCCTTCTTATCTATTCCACAAGCCTTTAGAACCCTGACAACTCTCTGGGAAAGGCGAGGCATCTGGATCTTTTTAAACAACCCTACACTTGATGAATTCTTCGGTAAAGCGGCCAATGACCTCCCTGAAAGATGTTTCTCGCGCATGGTTTTTAAAGGCTTCATGGGCTGGGACATTAATAACCTCACACCTGTAGAACATAGAAAATAACCCACAGCCCACAAACTTTTTTTTAACAAGTGGTAATAGGTACATTAGCCCACGACATCAATTTGGACGAACACAGAGTTGGCTAGTGACAGATATGTGAGTGGTCCTATTCACAAATCTTACCGTGCTCGGGAGCCTTTTGAGGGAACTCGCCCTCCTGTCGCGCCACTGCGCCAACATCCACGGACGATTCGAGGTTCTGCACCTCGGCCACGGATATGTCGCTAACCAGCTCGGTGGCAGCTGAGTCGCTTGGCAAGTCGATGGGTTCATGAAGCACCATTTCCCGACCGGTACTGAGGACAGATGCTCGATCACCCTGTTCGGCACCGCAACGGGTGGACGGAGAATCATGATCTTTCCGCTCTGGATCCATCTTGATGCTGACGGTCACCTCACCGCCTTCCACGGACGATTCAACGTTCTGCATCTCGGCCACGCCTGAGTCGCTAACCAACTCGGTGGCTGCCGAGTCGTCACCCAACTCTATGGCTTCATGAAGCGCCATTCCCTGAGCGGTGCTTAGGACAGACGGTCGACCACCCTGTTCTTCACCGCAATGGGTGGGCGAACAATCACCATCTTTCCGCTGTGGATCCGTCCGGATGTCGACATTCACCTCACCGCCTTCCACCTCGGGTTCTCCACCTTCCTCATCGCCAGAAACCCGAGCTTCCACCGCGGGTTCTTCTTCGCCTTCATCGTCGCCAAGAACGGGAGCTTGCATGGACGTCGACTGACCTCCCTATACGACACCCTCTCTCGTCGTGGCCACAGCCGAACGACTGTGCAGAACCTCTTCGGACGTCCCGATCACCAGCGCTCGTGCGTGGAGCCACTTCACGTCTTCACGAGTCGGCCCTTGTCGAGTCTCCTCTCCCTGCTGTAGAGCATGCATTTCCCCTCGAGCTCTTGCACTCTCGCTGCCAGTGTCCACGGACGCACCCTTCGAAGCATGACGTTCACACTCGCTACCCCCGGTCTCCAACACTTTGCGAGACTGCCAGCGTTGAGTCTCCTCTTCCCGATGTACAGCACGCTTTTCTTGGCCCCGCGGCACTGTTGCGTGAGGAGCACTTATGGCGGAGGGCGACGTCAGCAAATCCGAATGTATTCGGAGTTTGTGGCAGTCGCCCGAGCCGAGGGAACCGAAGGTCGCACCTTCGCTTCTTCGCAATGCAGACATCCCGCCCTCCAGGCAAAACGAAGACGCGCCCTCTTTCAGGAGCAAGGTGTTGAGCACAGGAGACCTCTGCTGCGCACGGCGGGATGGACTGTCCTCGGCAACGGAAAACAAAGTCCTCGCAGACAAGTGCGAATCTACTCGCACTTGATCAGACGTCAGGGTGGCCTCGTCTCGCATGTCGAAATCTCGACTCCCTACGCAGTGAGGGTCAGTTTCCATATACTGAAGACTCCCGGACGTTCTACGCTTTCCGCCCGACCCCTTTCCGCCCGACCCCTTCCCGCCCGACCCCTTTCCGCCCGAGTCCTTTCTGCCTGACCCCTTTCCGCCGGACGCCTTCTCTACCGACGATGTCTCGCCCGTCCCCTTTTCGGCAAACTGTGAGCCGTCTCCTCCGCCACCTCCGCCGTCTCCTTCGTCTCCTCCTCCACCCCCTCCCGGATGCTGACCGCCCGACGGAGGTTGCGGCATGCGCCAGCCAGTCAATGCCACGAGACGGTGCCGTTTCGAGTGTGTAGAAAGGCGCTCGAAACTCCAACATGTTGTTGGCGTACAACTCATGTAGCTTTTGTTCTGCATACGCAGCGACGTCCGGATCGTTCCTCTCGGGGTTCATGAGACTCAAATGCTCCACCAGAGCAGTTCTCGCCGTTCTCTTAAATGCACCCGATCCCAGTCTCTTCAGTCCACTCCACTTGCCATCGGCCTCCTTCATTGCCATGACCCACATTCCATTCCTCACAGCAGGTTGGAATATCCTCGGGTTCCAGATGACGTTGTGTCCCCAGACATCCTCCGCCGTGAACCGGTGATGCTTGCCGAAGAAGTAGAGTCTGGCATTCTGCCAGGTGTCGTGGTCCGCAGGGAGCCTGTCACAAGGTTCGTGATCATAGTCTCTGTCTTCCTCCCCGTCATCAGACGATTGGTCGTCGACTGGTTCGTCCCGAAACACATGCTTCAAACCGGCAGGGGACGTGCTATATCTCCGAGGGCCACCTTCCTCTTCATCACCAACCGGTCCAACCACCCGAGGAAGTGGCATGGACTCGAAATCGAAGGTTTCCGAGTCGCTCAGCTCCTCCATGTCTTCAGCATCGAAAGGGTCCTCCTCGTCAAACTGTGACTTGTAGTTTTCCAGGGTGAGCGGTTCCGCCAGCGTGAAGTAAACATGCTTCTGCCTTCTCAGAAAATGCGAGACAGACTCCCTGGGTGCATCGTGGTACCCATTGAGCACACCGAACACCAGGTTTCTCCGTCGACTGTATTCGAGGTCGGTCGGACCAGGCGGTCCGGGTTGGAAAAGGAAGTCCCAAAACTCCGTCCTTTTGTTCCCCTAAAATTTCCAATACATGTCACGTTTGGGATCCCAGTTTCGTTCGCCGGTGGTGTGGACAAACTCGCAAGCATTGCGAGTGTTTGCAACGCGAGTCTTCACGAACTCGTGAAGGTAATCGATCATCTTCACCTCCTTCTCCAATGTGACAACGTGCCGGCCGGTGCGGAGGAGTTCCCACACGACAAACGCATGCGCCTTCCCAAAGAAAAAAACAGTTTGCCTAACTTTGCAAAAGTTTTCGAGTAGACCAAGTAGACGGGACGGGTTCCGCTCCATCTCCCCGTAAGCAGGTCCTTGAGAACTTGTCACGCCGCCGTCCTCCCACATGCTACGAGAGAACCTTTCCTCTTCCGCCACGTCGAAACACGCCACAGCCTGTCCTGATGGGTCCGATGAACACACAGCTTTCGAGCGGGCCGCCACCGTGTGTTTGGCCGAACTTGGACCATGAGCACGGGAAGCCTTTGTCGGGCTACTAGCCGGGTAGACTGCGAATGTGTTGTCTTCCAGCGTTTCGCCATTTAAAATCACGTACAGGCGGTCACACTCCTCAACCAGGATATTGCCTTCCCGGACAGTGGCCTGCTTTTGTGCATTGCGCACCCACTTCCCTGTCCTGACGTGATGGATGCTAAGCCTGGCCATGCCTTTCAAGAAATTGAGCTCTCAACGAGAGGGGAAAAAGACCACAAGTGCCCAGTGCATTGGCGAAAGTGTTTGGAGAACGCCTTGCAAGTTCGCGAAATCGTCTTCTCGCCAGTCTGTGAGGAGTGTGGGATCACACAAATCGAGGACGTACAGGTTGCACACGTAATGGCGCACAACCTCACGGATCGCAGTGACATGACTGTGAGCTTGGGAAGGCGGGAAAGCGAAAGGAATAAGGCTAGTCACCCGGTTGAGGTCGGGCCATTTGATGTGCCTCATATCCCCGCTAACCCTGATCGTGTCTCGAACTTCTTCTTCCGTCCGTTGCAAGATAGAACGGACAGACTTTTCGAAAGATTTAGGGAACCTGTCATCATCGTACAATCTCTTCGCGTCGTCGATGGACTCCTTCTCGTGCGGAAGAGTACGTTTGCAAGTGTTCATGTACTCCACCGCGCCCTGGAAATGATTTTGCAGACCCACACCTGTTTCGTGAGGCCCTGCGGCCCGAACTCCTCCAGAAGCTTCCCCTCGGTCCGAAAAAAAAGGCTCCCGTGGCGCCAAACACGTTCGTCCTCCTCCGTTTCAAGGAACAAGATGTAGTGAAACATACGGAGCATCACACGGTCCACTTTCCTCGTCGCGACCATGTCTTTAATTTCTTGTTTATGCTGACGCTTCAGATGGCCGCCCGCGGATTGCACGAACACTACCCTTAGCACGAGAATGTCGTCAAGGATCGACAGTTTCTCGGCATCGGTCATGTCGGCGAGACACTGCCAACAAAACATGTCTGGCTCCTTCACGACCACGAAAAACTTGTCGTCCGCTTGCGTTTTCGTTTTGGTCGGAGGCGGCGGGACCCAGACCAGCCACCCCATCTCCATTTCACCAGCCGCCCCTTTCAAGCTCATTTATGGAATTGCTTGCAGACCCGGAGATTTGTCTGGCATATATTTGCCCGGCCGCGACAACGGCATCTTGCAGTTGTCGCCCAACAACTTCCCCTCCGCCCATTTCGCGTAGAACTCCATGGCTTTGCGGAAAACGTTATCACCGGCCGTCACGAGCGGCATCCACTGCCTCAATGCATTGCCAACGACAGCGACATACTCCTTGTCGGCGAGAGACAAATCTTTTTTTGCCAACGACCAGTGAGCTTCGTTCGGACTCTTTCCCAAAAGCAGCTTTTGGAATTTGAAGAACGCTCGTTTTTCGGCCTCCTTGCCGGAAGGGTTCCCTTGAATGGCCACCGACCTTCCTTCATTCTCCCATGCTTCCCGCATGTCCAAGAACGCGGTCTTCTGCGATCGCTGCTTAGACATCTTGTGTCTCGTGTTCTCATTGAGACTGACCTGCCTATACCCCGCGAAATCTCAGTCGGAGAACCACACTACTCTCGCCGACCACGACTGCATCTTCCAGAAATCGAAGATTGGCTCACCCTCCAACTTCTTCACAGCAGCCACGGTGTGTTGTCCGTTAACAGGGTAATAGCAGTACTTGTCCTTGTCCTCTGGCTTGAAGACATCTTTGTGAACCCTGTCAGCTTTCTCCGGCCTACGCGTCGCCGGCTTGTAGATAGGTGCCAAAACTGGAGGGTTTTTCGTCCAGATCTTCTCCTTTTTCTCACGGAATTGACTCAGCATCGCATCCTTGATGTCGTCTACAATTTCGCGACTTAGACTGCTGTTGTTGTAATATCTTTCCCAAGGCGGGATGTCGCAGACCTTCCGGGGGTCGATGAGCAGTTGGATGGGGAGCTCCATCTCCATGATTTCACCGACATCGTTCCACTCGTATTCGAGCCAGAACGCTGCCGCTTCGTCGCACTCATCACCGACAGGCCCTTCGCCACCGCTCGCCGCCTAAGCAGTCTTCCGCCTTCGAGGTTTCTTCTCGCCACCGCCTTCTTCAGCTGCCACTTTTCGTTTCGATTTCCCCGAAGGTTCTCTCGCTGCCGCAACGTCTGGATTGGCCGAATCTCCTCCACCCATGGCTTGTCCTTCGCGGATGGTCAAACCGTCGGGCCTCCTCGCTTTCTTATTTGTCGTCTCACCCTCTTCCTTCGACGTCCTCTTTCTCGAGGCACGTCGTCCGACGTCACCTCCAACCCCGCCCATCACCGCCTCTGATTTCCCTCTCATCCGCTTTATGCGGAGGGTTCCCTCCGCCACCTCCTCTCGCACCATCCTCTGTTACTCACACTTCTTCTCCGAAGGAGTCTGCTCCCCGCCAGAGCTTTCGCGGACAGCGCCCATCCCTTCAGCCTCATTCCCCCCGACACCTTGCCCCGATCTGTCAGATTCTCTTCTCGTCTCATCTCGAAGTGAATACGTGTCGCCACCGCAGTGGACCTTGAGGAGTTTCGGAGTACCGACCCGTTGAATCCCTGTACCCTGAGAATGCAAGTCCGACATGTTCCCAGGAGCATCCCGGCCGACCTGCATTTGAACGCTGCGCGCGAGCCCCTTGACCCGACCCTCAGCGTCGTGAATCGCACTCCCGCGCCCCACTGCCGTCCCTGGAGTTTCTTGAGCCAAGCCGGACGACCCCTCATGGGGTGGCATAAGCCTAAAAACATGATCTCGCGGAATAACCAGACGTTCTTTCGGCACCATCGTCGCGAGATCGAGATATTGCTCTGGCGATGGAAGACGCTTGCTGCCTCCATCGTAAAGGCCTTTGAAGTGAGAGCACAACATCATGTTCGAGCCGTACCCCGCGAAACTCTTGATGGTCACCAGCACACTCTTAACACCTCTAAGAGGCAGTCTGCATTCGTCGTACAAGCCATTAGTTTGCAGCTTGAGCAAACCTCCAGGAGTCTTGACGCACGAGACGATGGTACCGAGAGGAAGAAAGTTGACCGCTCCCCCAGCGTCTGGAGCGCAAGTGGGTCGCATGAAAACAACTGGCCCAAAAAGGTCCCCCTGAATAACGAAGTCCAAAAACCATTGTGCTTCCCTTGTATGGAAATACTGAGGAGTAGAATGCTGAAGAGGTCGTCCCTCCCCGGGGGCAGATGGTCCAGCACTTGTGGATGTGTTCTTTGCGGACGCCATTGTACTCCCACCCGTTGACTAACACGCCCAACCTCAGACCAACTCGGATGACTAACACGCCCAACCTCAGACCACTACAGAATCGAAGTGCGAACTAACTCGGACTTAACGAAATGGAGGACGAAAAGGACGTAAGAGATGGGTGTTCGAAATGCACACGAAGTCACAACGATTGGGTGAAGGATAGGAAAGACAGCAGTCCTCTCGCAGAGTGCGAACGAGCTCGCTGTCGTAGAATCGAGGAAGAGGTGATTTATCTTCCGGAAAGTACGAACTAACTCGGAGTTTCGGGAATGAAGTCGTCTACAACAAGTACCGCATGGGTATCGACAAGGGGGAACCGACGTGCAGTTCCAGGATCAAGGAAACCGAAGAATGAGATTGGTGTTTGAAATGCAAATGAATACAAAACAATTGGGTGGCTGGCAGAGTAAGTTCGGAGGGAAGAGGACGACTCTTCGGAAAGATTGCGACCCGACTAGATGCACTGGAAACGAGTACGATGTGGTTTATCGACAAGTGAGAAGGGTGTCGACAAGTGCGAACTAACTCGCAGTTCTGTAGAGAAGACAACAATGGGAACCCGCAGCGCTAGGGGAAAGTGCGAACTAACTCGGAATTGTGGAACTGAAGACCTGAAAGACGCACGAAACGAGTAAGATGTGGTTTATCGACAAGTGCGAACT